CCCCCCCCACCTCCTCCATAGATATTCGGCTTTTCGGCGCTACCCTTATAACCTGCCTATTCCAGTCACGTTTATCTGGTCAGTACTTTTGGGCTGATATGGCTACAGTCGATGGCGTTTACGAATCTGAATTTAAACGGCATCACTGCTATGTTTTCAATGGCGCGCTCAAAAATGACAGTGGGGTTTGAATATACCTCCTTCAAACCCCACCCCCCCCACCTTGCATTCGAAGCTCTGTCGCGTCACATCGACCGTGGGGCTGGCTCACTGAACTCTGACCTTTGACCTCTATGATGGTACTCTTACAGGGGACATGAAGCAGCTGCTTGCGTGGATTCGAGGGAACATGCTGAAGGAGCGCCCAGAGCTCTTTATGCAGGGCGACACTGTGTAAGTACACACGCAGACACACAGTAAATACGTTACCGATGCAGGATGATGCTCAGGCAAACATACACGCGTGCTGTAGACACACACTCGTAATAAATGCAGCGCTATGCGTTCGATGCAGAATCGCCGTGAGGTCAAGGAGGCAGAATCACACCACGCTCCCCGGTGCGACGCGTAAATATTTGACCAGTGATAAAATAATTATTGCATTAGTAAAGGTAAAGGAAATGTTTATTTAAATGTGTGTGGTGTGCTCAGAATTAGTACGGTTAGTATAGTTCTACAGTCTTGCTTTCTCAGCTCATACTAAACAGTGGTTGGATTTTCATTTTTTATAATTCTGATTATGCTTTTGCATTCTCCAACAGGTTTTTTTTTTTTTTTTAGAGAGATTCGTCATAAATGACCTTTATTCTTGCCCTGACGTAACTAGCATGGACTGGTTACTGAAAAAAAATGAAATCAGCTGTGGATAAGTGAGTGGATAAAGCTCTGCAATTAACCCATCCAAAGTGCACACACGCAGCAGTGAACACACACCGTGAACACACACCCGGAGCAGTGGGCAGCCATTTATGCTGCGGCGCCCGGGGAGCAGTTGGGGGTTCGGTGCCTTGCTCAAGGGCACCTCAGTCATGGTATTGAAGGTGGGAGAGAGCGCTGTACATTCACTCCCCCCACCTACAATCCCTGCCGGTACGAGACTCGAACCCGCAACCTTTGGGTTACGAGTCCGACTCTCTAACCATTAGGCCACGACTTCCCCAAACTGCAGTAAGCCACTGGTACACAGTATAGTCTTTAATGGCGTATAAACCATACCATCGATTGTTTAGGTCACCCCATCACCTACATTAGCACCTTAAAATCTAAAACAAAATACAAAACATTTTAATTAAAATTTTCTTTTGAGTATTATTAACAAAAAAAAAAACACTTTTTTGCAGTATCTGATTAGGCAGGTATTAATGGACACTTAAAGCAAAATCCAAAGTGATATTATGGTGTTATATTGTATATAAAGCTGTATTGTGTTATTGTATTGATCACTGTAATTATAAATTTTGTGCTAATCTTTGTGAGAGGATGTTCTATGCACAGTCTTTATTGTGCTTCATCTTGCACGTGTATGTTAGTACGAGAGAAGCTCATTCATTTAATGAACTGCAGATGCAAGGGTCTTACAAAACCGCAGCACTGGCGATTTTCATTGTGTATAAACAGGCTGCATTATATTATCAGAGAGCTGCTTTACTGTCATGTTTTCAGTGTAACTCACATCACTTACATGAGCTTTTCTTTTTTACACACACAGTAGACCCGGGATTCTCGTATTGATCAACGACGCAGACTGGGAACTGATGGTAAGAGTGTGTGTGTACAGTTCCTCAATCACTCCTTCCACTCTCTGTTTTAATGACATGCTCATTTTAGGTCCAGTGTCAGCTTCTCTTCATTCATCTAATGTACATAAAGGTTGTGCTGGGTTGTTCTTTCAGGAAACATGTATTGGCATCAGGATGTAATTTAAAGAAACACAATCAATGGGAAAAAAGTCAATGTCTCAACAACTGTCAATGACGGCCAAAACATGCAAATCATGTGTTGATTTAAAGCAAAGATTCTTTCTAGTATTTTCCACATTTTACATTTCATATATACATTTTTTTTTTTTGGTATCTTCAGTGTAGACATTTTTCAAAGATGTTATTGTCATTTTCTTTTATTATGTATGCATCCCTTACAGGGTGAACTGGAGTACCAGCTTCAGGACCAGGATAATATTGTCTTTATCTCCACACTTCATGGAGGCTAACTGACTCTAAATCAACACCACGCCCATACAGGAGCCCCTCCACCCTTCAAAAGGTCAAAAATCAGATGATCCATCAACAATGGCATCGGTGGCCGATATCAATCCCAGCCATGGACTTCTCGACCAGTCATGTGAAAAGACTTATTTTGATTTTAAGTCTAATAAAACGTAACGTCATCGGGAATCTGGCTGCGGAGGGCCGGTTCACTGTCCCCTGTACCTTACAGGAGCGTGGTGGGGTTACAATGGGGAGCAAGGGCTCATTAGGAAGGTCACTCTGTCTAGCCAGTGTCCAGATGGATTCTCCTGAGACGTGGTGGACCGGTTGCCCCATGTCAAATGGCTCAGTTATAATTTATTCATTTTCTGTTAGATCCATAGCTATCAATTGTATGTTTACTATGTAAATCCGTATTTTTTATTTTTTTTTTATCTGAATTAATAAATATTGTCACAATATTGTTTTATTTGTGATTTTATATGCAGTGCAAAAATGCAAATTCAAATTAGTTTTGTTAGTATTTAAATAAAGATATCTACAATATGCATTAATGTTTTATATTTGTCATAATATCAAATATCAGCCTGCTAAGCTTAAGTATTTATTTGAGGACAAGAGGTTTTTAAATTCCCTCTCATCTATAGACTGCTAGTATACCCCAAAATAGTCCTGAATGTACCTCTAAATATTATCTTGTAGTTTTGGAACGAAACATTTAGCGTCATCACATCATACAGAGAAAAAAATGGCAGTTCTCTAGTGAAATGATGTATTATTTTTATGTTGCAGATTGATTTGCATAGACCGCCTTGTCCTAGGGTTCACCTAAAGAATATTCTTTAGAATAAACTATAGGATGACGGCGGGAGGTCGAGCACAAATCTCTCTTGGCTGAAGCCTCGATTTGCAACGGAAACCCGTATGATAATAGTAACACTAATACAGATGCTAATGCTGTCAAAGAAGAAGTGTGTGTGTGTGTGTGTGTGTGTGGAGTGAAAGGGGGAATACAGGGGTAAACATGTTTCTCCTGGAGTGTGACCTGTTGGGAGGCCATGAATCAATTTCTCTTTTATTAAAGACACTTCCTACTAAGATTTAAACTAGGCTTATTTAGGTAATCCGCACTTTTGATTTTCGCTTAATTTTCAAAACGTTATTTAAAAGGATTAACCTATAGATATAACTATTTTTTGGGGCATTTTTTTTAGCATAGACGGATGAAATATGTTATTAAATATTGTTATAAAATGTGTTTTGTCCTAATTCAATTAATTCAACGACATTAGCTAAAAATAGGTCTGTTTTTCCCCTTTGTTTAGAGTCTAAGAAGCGTACAACTATTCTAAATATTTTATATGACTTAGCCAACATTATAAAGATGCAAGAGATTGAACACAAATTTAACCGTTTATACTTAGTTTTATTAATAGTACGCCAAGGTTTGTAAAGAGATTTTAATTTCACTGTCGTCTTTTTTCTCACGATAGAATGAATACTAGGCCGATTTAGCATTCTGTGTTATTACAAGTTATTTTTATACAATACAACTATTAATTAATTCTCAAACTAAGCTTGACAATTATGAGGCTTTATGTAGAACTTTATTTTATTAATTTTAATAATTAACTTTATTAATTTATAACAATATTGAACATTTATAACAACGTCAAAGTAACAATTTTAATGCTTTAGCTTGCCTTAAATCAACCCGTTTACAAATAGGCCTACTGTTTGAAGACGAGATTAAATACACAGATTTTACAAAACGGTGCATGCTAGGCCGGTCGTCTTGCCTCTTTAAAAAATATGAGAACAAACACAACAAAGTGTTTATCGTTCAGGTGTTGAATATCGTAGCAATAAAAAGATCTTTCTATCGGACATTTGAAAATGTAAACAACGCAGACACTGTAATTTTGCTGTGCGAATTAAGGAATGATTAAAATATTGTCCATGAAGACTAGTTACTTTTTTTTATTTTTCAAACACATTCGAAATATGGTTTTCTCGTTCGTTTCGTGTTTTATCGTTTTATACCAAATAAACCATTTTTGTGTTGACGCTCAAATTCAGGCCTGAAACCAGGCGTAGGCTAAAAGCTTCAAATAAAGTAAACATAGCCTACTGAATTTTTACTACCTCTCGTTTGAATCCCCCGGTCCGCCAGGACACGGCTGTATTAGTATAGGCCTAGTGTACTTTTAGTATTCAGCTATATATTTTGGAAACCCGTGCTTCCACCTGAACTAGTTTAGTTAACGGTTCGACGTCGATAACCGTTAGAAGTGCGCCATCGACAGGCAAGGCAATAGGCCTAGCATTTACAAGATTATCAACACAACAGTGACAGAAAAAAATATTATCGACATTTATTTTAGACATCTTGCAAACACATACTCTGTTGAATTTCGTTTCGTTATGTAGCCATACAGTCAAACTGCAATCTACAATATTTTGAAGCCGGGGAGGGAATAAATGGCCGCTACTTTGATTTGACCCTGTATGGAGATTGTGTAATTGTATAACTTTTTGTGATTTAATTTTTCGTTAAACAATCTAAACAGTCAAGCGGTGGTCAATTTAAGATAGGCCTCGCACGAACCCTTTGGTTCGCCTTAGTCATTAGGTTTAAAATATCCTGCATGTAGCAAAACGTAATTTTTGTCTGGCTTGTGTTCCAACAATCCACAATGTGATTAGATTGCTACTTTTAATATATGATACTGCTTTATTATCAAACGCTTGCCTATAATGCAAATATTTTGTGGGGCCCAACGGGCCTTTGTGTTTACCTTTTATTACAATGCACAAAAGATAAACTTAATGGTCAAACGAAGGAGTACATTGAAATAAGTGGTAGAGCACACGTGTTTCTATTTATTTATTTATGATTTTAATTATTCCCTTTAATTTCTGAACCACACGTGGTGCAGGTGCAAAGGTTTAATTCGAGCTCAAGTCAATGCTTCCAAATATCAAACAAAATTCCATCCGTTAGGGCGTTTTGGTGTTGAGTTTTTCGTTGTCAAAAACATCACTGAAAGTACTTTGTAGTGTAATTAGCAGTGTATTGATTAAGCAAGTGAAACGTATAGTTACCAATACAATCAATCGACTGTCTGAAATGGAATATCAAGTTAAGGCAAAAGAACTAGTTAGCGACAGCTGCCCCGCTGTTAAACTGCATTTGGCTCGATAATTGAAGAAAATTCAGAATCACCTTAAATTAATTTGTAGTGTTTGTCCTCGAGAATCAGACAGATACACACACACACACACACACACACACACTTTTTGCCTGACCCTGTGTCTAATATACAGGCCTGCAGTGTGCGTTGAAACACACACAGACAGTAAAATGCAAAATTAAATAAAAGCAGTAACCAAAAACAATCGCTGCAGTGATACACGTAACGTAATAAATGAGACAGAAAATGAATTCAGTAAATGGCGTTTTAGTTCACGCCGTTTCATTGAAAAGTCCTTCACCATGCAGCTTTGGGCAAAAGATGGCAGTCTCAATGAATGAGAAACTCAGGCATGCTCAAAGCATTTTCCCACCATGCTTTTATAATCAGCGTGACTTTTTATTCATCTACCATACATACGCAATGAGAAAAGCATAGGCTAAATACTATTATGAACAAAACATTGTGAAAAAGTCTTGCAGTCAACGAATTGCGTTTGGGAAATCGTTGAAAATAACTTTAGTAAGCAACATTCAAATAACCGTTGCAGTTCTACATATACTAGCCTACACACTGTTCTTTTCAGTGAAAATAAACAATATTACATTTCCCAGACGAATATGTTCAAGAATGCGAAAGTATCAAACAAAAGTGTTAAGATGATTCTTTTATTTCAGTGCGCTTATCAAGGGAACGTTATTGAAAAGTAAATGTGAATAACTGGTCAAATAATCGTCCCTGTATCATATAATGTGCTTCTTACCTTTAGCGAAGCTTTACGAAAATGAATATTTAGTGTAGCTACAGTAAGCAGAAAGCAGGGCCTATATGTCCTCCGGAACGAAGATGTTGAATCTCCAGCAACAGATGTCCAGGCACAATTCTTGGATTTAAATTATATTTTACAAGAATTGCGTTTGGACAATCAATCTCTGGGACCCTTTGAAAAGCTTATTTTTCAACTCCATGGAAATGTATTCTATGTGTAAACCAAATACAAACTGAAATCTCACATTGTGTCCCTGTGGCTGTTGGGCCTATTAGCCTAGTAGATTTTTATACAAAATGTTACTCTTTTATAACCCTGTTTAAACACTTACGTTCCGCATTTCTCATTCTTTTAATGCCTGTATTTTACTTTCAAATGCAAAAGTATATCGCGTTGTTTGCTGTAATGAAATAAACAAACAACCCGATGTTAGTTTATAGCTCTGGCACGTACATTTTACCTCAGGATTAACGAATAAGATTTCTGTTTTCTTACTTTTAAACAAAAAGTTGCAACCGGTCTTTCAAAAACGAAACATAAAAAGTCACGTATTCCTAAACGGGTTTTAACATATAAACTGCAAACTTCATTTTAATCGAATCCACAGTAAAAAAAAAAAATAAACCCTAACATATTTCCCCTTTAGAAAGCGTTTCCTTTAAGAAGAGGGTTAAAAGTTTGACGCGCGTTCAGTGCGCTTGTTAAAAATCTGAATAAACCACACAAGAAAATGCTAAACCTCAGCTCACCACATAAAAATGAACACTTTTGAAAAAAAAAAAAGAGAAATCAAATGAAATGAGCTAAGGAGCAGTTTCGTAAAGTCCCGCTTGTTACAGAAGCAGCTCTTCGCCATTGCTGCACCTGTAAGGGCGCACATCCTTGTAGTTCCACCTCTCGACGTCAGGCAAAGGAAAATCATCTTCTGATACCGGCAAAACCCGAAAAACTACCAAAAACCCTTTCCAGTCGACCCATTTCGATACTTTAGTTGCCCGTAGTGTGATGTGTCACAGCAAAGCCTCTTCTCTCAACGCGACGGTGATGAAAATGCGCGGAAGCCTCTGTCCTGTGTATCCTCACTAACGCAAGCGGAGAAAATGGTCAAATGCAAGAAGGAGGGATGCGTTGGGTCGCTCGAAGATCCCTCACGCCCTCAGTAATGCCTTGATGGGACGGTTCTTATGGAATGGCACGGACCATCACGTTCCTATGAAGGCTTTTCTCAGGCTCCCGTAACAATACTGGTGTTGCCACGACGAACGGCGAGAGGGAGTGGGGATGATCTTCGCTTGGTACTGAATTTGAATAACACCATGGGGTGATAAATGTCCATTGTGCTGTAGAAGTAATGAATCTCCACTGTCTTCTTTTGCACACAAGCCAGCAGCTGCGAGCGAGGGACCAGCAGCCTCTTAAAGACACAACAGCCCCATTTTCTCCTCAAAAGTGATCACAATCCGTACTCTGTTTATTCTGTCAACACACACTGCATGACGTTTGTTTTCTGGACACCTT